CTGTCTCTCATTTGGTTCTATTTAAAGGCTGAATGCTGGCTAGGCAGTTGTGTTGGCTCCAGTAGCTGCTATATTAGCGTTAGCCGCGTGTGTGTGTGCGCCAGACTGACCCGTCAGCGCTACAGACTCAAGAGAGAACACGAGACACAAATAACTGCATTCCTCCACACAGCCCGAAAGAGACAGAGAGACGGAGAAAGACCCCAGAAGTGAGATTCAAATAAGGTGAATTAAAAAAATAAGGCACAGAAGGCAAACCCACTTTGTTGCCCTTGTGGGGATTACATTTCTCATAATGATTATTCTTGACCTATTTCTACTATTATTATTAATGCAATGCTTAGAAATGTTCATGGTGGGCAGCTCACTAGGTTTTGGAACTAATCCAAAATTCTAGAATTCTAAAAATGTCTAAAGGCGTCATTTAGGGAATTTTCATTTAAATAAACATTTACCCTAAAAGCATAAATGTCTTTTTTTAAATATTATTACCAAATTAAGATGAAATGGAGTACAAGGAAAGTTTCTTTAAGGACATACTACCAAAAGTTGAACACATTGGCTGTGTCCCAATTCAGAGGAGGTATCCTTCGAAGGACGCAGACCATAGGCCATGCTTTCAAAAACCACAAAAGTTGAACCGAGCATTGTTAAATGGGACGGTCTAGTCTACGGAGGATTGCTCTTGTGACAGCTGCCGTAGACGAGTGTCAGTTGTACTGGACTTTTTTAAAAGTTACATTCAACTGATTGAAAACAAAACAGGGTTCACAACCTGTCTAAATATGTTCACCTTGGTCCATTTATGTACATAATAAAGAGTATAAACCATCTATAAAATCGCATCTTAGGACAACATTTAGGGTATTCGAGTTGAAATCCAATACTTACATTTAAATGGTTAATCTGTCACCATAGCGCAATGAATCTTTCTCCTTCGAATGCGGCCAACAAATGCATCCTTCATTTCCCAGAACGGATGGATCCTACGCAGCCCGGGAAATGAAGGATGCATTTGTTGGCCACATTCGAAGGAGCCTTCGAATTATGACAGCCAAAGGCCCTGTTTGCACCTGGCATTAAGATGTATTTTGGTCGATCTAATCACAAGTAGACGAGGGTGACACATTCCCGTTTACACCTGGTGTTTTAATCTGTATCGTTAGTACTTTCGGCCACTTCTTTCCTGCTTTCTTCGAGGGGAGGGTCTATGGGCAGGTAAATGTATGGGCACAAAATAGGCTCACACAATTTACACATGAACGTGCCCGAAGACGACGGAAAACCATACGGTTTTCGCTTCTGCTCGGAAAGCCGCAAGACCATCACTGTGAGTGCGTGTTAGAAATCAGGAATGATGAGAGAACATTGTGCTTGGTATGTTTTTCTTCTTTAAACCAAACATTCTTCAGCTGACAAAGTTTAAATAAGTAAAAAGCGCTTCCCATAATGTTTACACGTTAGGTCAGTAGACGGTCTTTTGTGGCTGTTCGACCACATGAGATTTTACACGTTAGCAATGCGGTTTAATGCGTTTTCGACTACCTCTGGAAGTGGTCGAAAGTGGACAAGCTCAAAATATTTTAGACCTCATTTACACATTTATTTAGAGTTGCCCACTTGTGATAGGACTGACCAAAACACTAATACCAGGTGTAAAAAGGGCCTTTGTTGTGCCACTGTTACACATTTGGCCTTTGAATGCAGTCTTGGAAGGATGCAGCCTCTGAATTGGGACCCAGCTGTTGAAGACATACATTTATGTTTCTTATTATTTTAAACCTTTTCATCTAAAGGCTAAAAGGCTAGATTTATTTATAAATCAATTGTATTTTAACCGATGATTTAGCATATGAGGAAACTTTATGAATTTGGTTGAGAGAATACTGTCCAAAGTTTAACTTGAAGATGCATTTGAAATACCGTGCCAATGAAAGTCTAAAAATAATCACGTGTCCACACTGTGTGGGCTCACATTTATGACTCATCAACTTCTGTGCAGACCTCAAGTGCAGAAAAATGTTTCAATCGCTTCTTAAAGCTACACTCAAAATGGATGGAAGGAAAGTACTTGGATTTTCCACATTTAACAGAAAAAAAAATGAGGTCTTAGGTTCCATAAAAGCATCTGGTTCTCCAGATAGATGACAAGTAAAAGCTCTGCAGCAATTCATGACTTTGTACATTCACTATGATGAGGTCCATTGAAAGAAAGATATAAACTGTGCTATCCATCTGCAATATTTCATCTAAAAATAGACATTACAGTATTTTAACAGTACAGACTGTTTATCGAGGATGGTCTTTTTAGGAAAGAATTGGTTAAAAAAGAAAACATTTGGTTTTCCCCATTTCGAAAAATATTCTATTGACTAGTTCAAACCACCTTGTCAATGGATTTTGGCCTTTTTAATCAGAAGCATGTCTTGAATAGAATGTGTGTATCTGTGTGATGGATTAGAGAAATGAACCTTGTGACAGAAAACAGTGTGGCTTTAAAGGAAAAGTTCACCCAAATGTGAACATTCTGTCATTATTTACTTACCATAATGTTCCAAATCTTTAAATGAAAAATAAAAACATAATTAAACCAGTCCATATAATACAGTATGTTACCATACTTGCTGACCATAACACACTTTTAGAAAAAAAAAAAAGGTTCAATGGGGTTGTTGACTCAATTTTTGTCAAAAAGGGTTATTCTGAGTGTAATAAAATGTTCACGAGTTTGATTCATAAAATAATTAAATTAAAAATGAATGAAAACTAAAATCAATAAAATGATCCCATGATGGGAACCCCTAAAAGGTTCTATATATGAAGCACCTGACAAAACCCTTTAAGGTTCTATATAGAACATTTTCTTCCAAGATTGTGGGGGTTTGGAACAATATGAGGGGGACTAGGTCAACATAACTTAACCATAACCATATCTTCATGAATGATACAGATCCACTGAGATAAAAAAAGACAGAAAAAAGTCTTCTTTAGAAACAACAATGCCCTTTCAGAAGGCCAGAGACAGGTACGTTAACATTTACCATTTATTTTGTTTTTGAATAATTCAATGACTTTTTAAAGCTCCCATTTAGATGCTCTCAAAACTAAAGCTGTTTCTTTGACTGAAAGTTTAGTCAAACCTGGAGACTCACACACCATGTCAAAACCGGACATTTAGTCAGGAATTTGTCGTGTCGCGTCACATCCAGTTTAGACAGCTCAGCATCACTGAGAATAATGGATTCTACTTGCTTCGGTCGCGTCACTCCGCTCACGTCTGGTGTAGACATGGTGTAAAAGTGTTGAGAAACGGATACTTTCTTTTAACGTGAAATTTTCTGAAATGATCAGTTTATTAGCTGTTTAACCAACTTTTTATATGCGTGTGTATATCTGAGTTTTTCAGTAGCTTCATTCACCGAGCCGTACGTGTTCAACTGTACCAACCAAAACATGAACAAACAAATAAAACACATCAAACAAACTGTAATCAATCCATTCGACAGCCATACACAAAAATGACAGTTGTACTGCAGCGGCGTAAAAACATCGGTTTTGTATTCGCACGTAACTCTATTCAGGGTGCGAATTATACAATGACCTTTAACTTTTTTTTTTTTTTTTTATGAAAAGTAATTGCTATAGATATTTAGAGTGCGATATTAAAGGAACAATTTACCCAAAAAAATTAATTCTGTCATTATTTACTCACCCTCATGTCATTCCAACACCGTGTTTTTGGTCAAGTCTGTCTTGTTTTCCCCCTCGGGGTACAGTAGTTTTTGTTGTCTGTTTTGTTTTATTTTATCATCATTAAATACCCATTGTCCTGCACTTGAGTCCTTGCAGAAAACCTGACAGAATGACTTACTTTCTTTTGCTAAAAACAAAAGGTACATTTTTGATCAATATCCTGAGGGTGAATGTGATTAAATAAATGGCAGAATTTTAGGTTCAATTAGGCTTAAAAGTTTACATTTGTGATATGTGATGTTATGATCAAAAGATAAATAATGACATGACTTATGATTTGTCAAAGTACAACCCAATATTGGACCTAATGGAAACCGCTCATTGTGTTGCAATAGTTATCTCTTCAGGTAGAGCCCCGGACCCTTATTTGCTCAAATTTGTGGGGTCATCATCAAGCCTATAGGGATCAAGACCCTGCATAATTCGCACCCTGGGTGTATCTGTGTTATTTGAGGTTGAATGGTTGGTTTGCAAATGTTTAAGAATGTATGAAGATTTGTGAACGTTCATATAAAAACATTATAGAACCAACATCAGAGAGATATGAGAGAAATCAAAAGTAGCAATTCATGTGCAATCAGAAACAAAAGCTTAACATAAAAAATGTTCGGAGACTCATTAGACCCTCTTTGCTTCTGTGTAAGAACTAAAGCAATGTTTTAATACTGACTCTTAAAAAGTTAACATACAATAGGAAATATTTGTTTTTTATGTTGCTATGAACACATTGCTAAAGAAGCTATTATAGAAAACATTTGGCATCTCTAAACCTCTTGCATTGCTTTGCTTTAAGTTCATTATTTATAAAAGAAAGGCATTCTGCATATCTGTGGGGGTTTTAACAGCCTTTTTCTCTTTTTTTTTCATTAAACATGACAGAACATTCACGCAAACCTGCATTAAACTATTGGGGGTAAAAAACAAAACATTTTTAAAGCTAGTTTAGTGCAATTGCATAAAACTGACCGAGTATACTCCAAATGACAGAGTATATATCAAATATGTTTAATAAATGTACAGCATTAAGTTAAAGTGTGTGTTTTTTTTAGAAAGGTGGAGTACTGGGGAGGTAAATGCAGGATTTCAAAAAAATGTGTTAAGTATTTAAGGGATGTTTCGAGCCCTTTAAAGCCATGGAAGTCGTGCAAACGGGTAATGGCAAAGCCCCAGAACATTTCCAATATGCTGTAAGATTTGTGTAAATATAATTGTGTGGGCTTCAGTTAGAGCTCATGAAATAAAAAAAATAAAAATGTGTGATACTTTAGATAAACATTCGTTGTCCTATAAATTCAGCGCCAGTTCAAACTATATACATACTAAATGTGCATATTCATAGTTTCATTCAATAATGCTCTGTGTGTGGTGGTAATATCCCTTGCTTATTGTGCAGAGTGCAGACAATTTCTGTTTTCTTTTTTGTTGTGTGGTCATGAGCGACGTTTCCACAGATGCACATATTTTGTCATGCATTCCACAGTCCCAGTCGGTGATGATAACAGTTCTGATACAATAAGTCTGTGGAAAGTGTTAACACTTAAACCCCAGAGAGCACTGCTAGTCTCCCTGCCTGAGTCTTCCACAAAAATGGGGCTGTCACAGAAGGCTGGGAACATCATAAAACAACATTGAAATGTGAATTTTTTTAGGGATACAGTGTAGGGAACGTCATATGAACTGTCAGGAAATGCCCAGGTCACGTGTCTGTCACCCCAAAATCAAAAGAAGGAAATAAGAAATTAGATTTTGGATTAAGACCATAATGCTTATTATTATTACTACTCTGTCTTTCTTTTTGCATTATGACAGTATTGGCAATTAACATGACCATGACAATTAACTCCAATTCAACAATTCTTAGTAGCCTACTACTGTAATACAAAAAAATAATAAAATAGTATAAAATAAAATAAACTTAGTAGCATGCTAAAGTTGCAACAAAAAACATAAATGTATATGTATATATATTAGCCACATTTAAACAATATCCTCCTATTCTTAGAAGCCTAGTGTGGTGCAAAAAATGCTAATATATACAGTGTACATATATAATATATATTTGTATTAGTCATGGTCAGAATTATTGGCAAAAACATTTATTTCATAATATAATTTCCCCCCACTTTCAATTGTTTTACTTCAATGAAAGGTTGTATTTTTGAGAATTTTTTGATTAAAAGATAAAAAGGATAAACAATGCAGCTTATTTTTACAGCTTTCTTTGATCATATTTACTGAGGGTGCCAATAATTCTGATCATGACTGTATATATACATGATTTTCTTTGTTGTATGACAGTTATGAGAATGAATAAAACTCTCACTTTTTGCTTAAACTGTCCGTATTTAATTTTGAATTAAATAAATACAATGCCAAATTTGCGAAATGCATCATTTTAGTTATGCAATATATATTTTATTTTTTTCTTTTGATTTTTGGGGGGAATAAGAGCCTGACATTTCTTTATGATGTTCACCCGTGTGCATATGATCTTTGTGTGTGTATGTGGTGGTGGCCTTTCAGATGAAGGGCCACTGCAGCCCCAGAGCGAGGATGATGATGATGAAGCTGGCCGTGGAAAGAGACGCATCAGATGAAGGGTTTTTCTGGGTGATGGGCGAGTCCTGGGAAGAGACCTTTACTGGCGTTGTGGATACATCAGCTTCTGTAAGAGCTGGAAAAGAAAGAGAGTGAGAGATCGTGAGAGAGAGCAACAACAGTACAGTCACATGTCCGACATGGTGTCTCATTGTTGAGTCAACAGTGTCTTGTCAGGAAGTTAAATAGACAGATATAAATGTGAGAGATTGAGTCTTTCTTGGCGTGTGTGTGTGTGACAAGATTTTTGCTGAGTCCCAATTCACCTATTTATACTGTGCCCTAATGTACTGTTTTAAGAAGTGTGTAGCAGAATAGTATAGGCAAGCTTTGGTTCATCCTGTCACCGTTTAAACTGGCCTGTCAATCATCTGGTCACAGTTAAAATCCTCCACATTCAATGTAATATATAATGTGGATAACACTGAATAAATATCTTTTCATCTGGTTAGATGCTGATTATTATTATTAAACCTCTTGTCTTAACCGTCGATCTCGCACATCTGCCATGTTTGTGGTTTTTAACATTTTCTATTCGTGTTTGTATTTCTGATCGAATCCTCGTCCAAGGTGCCATGGGTTGTAGGCAGTGCAAGCCGTAAGATCTGCACTTCAGATTCGAACCGAAAAAAGAAGACCATGTGGGTATCTTTGGAATACTCATTTCAACATACTACGATTTGGGACGCACTATTCTATTTTGAATACTCTTTAAGACGGATAGTATACGAATTGGGTGAATGCAGCATGTATCTTTATATCACATTAAAACCTCGCCTCCTCCCATTACCCAGAATTCCTCTGTGCTGCTGACTTCAGCACTTACCTTGCCTGATCCTGTCAAGGTGAAATGTTTTGTAGCTCTGTAATATCTCTTTTCTTTTGCCTGCAATCACCCTGTCTCTGTCTTCAATTTCCTTTACATACATCTCTCTCTCTCTTTATCATTAGTCTTTGTCTCTCTTTTTTTTTTACCCTTCTTAAACTCCCTGCAGCTCAACGTTTTCCCCTCTCTATAGAGCTGTTCAGTCATGATGGCAATTTGTAGGCCAGCCCGAAGGCTAATTCGCCACGGGATTCCCTCATGAATTTACTATGGGTTTTTAGAAAAGCAGTTACGATTTATGAGCGAACAAGCTCTGTGGTTAAGTTTACTTGAAGAAACTTTCACATTTTGTTATGCAACATAAATTAAACACAGTCAAAGCTCAAAAGTGAATTTTGAAGTCAGTTTGCTAAGTAACTTGAGTAGCTTTTTCTAAACTCATGTCTTGTATCGCCTCATGTGAGTGTATTTTTCACTTTAGTCATATTTATTCACATGACCACAGGAGTAAAGGGTCTCTTGAAACAAGGAAGAGGGTTCTGCCATCTAAAAACACAAATCCATACACACACCAAAGCAAATTAACACTCCAATCAAACTTTCCACCAATTCCATTGTGACAATATTGCAGGCTCTCGGACATTCTCAAGACACCTTAAGCAACTAATTATGCGGCCTAATGCGTTTGTTATTACACAGAACAATAGACAATGAGCGGTCTATCCTTGGTGAGAATAAAAGTGATTGTTCTGGTAGAGGAGAAGGCCTTGCGTGTTTTGTGAGGTGTGGATGACACTGAAGGCTTGTCAACTCTGAAACAATAGAGAATGAGACTCGATGGTCCTTACAGCATACACTCAGAAGAATGCCCAGAAGAAATCTGCAAATTACTTTCACATTTTCTGCTCGGATTTTGTGGGAAATTCTGCAGAACAAATGTAAAAATGGCAACGAGTTACACTGTTATCATTAGCTGAAAGCTAACGATAAAGGGCAGGGAATGTGTAGATCTAAAAGTACATTGTTAACATTAAAAAGTCTTTTTGCTTTCATTTATTGATATTGGCATGTATTAATATAATTTTAAATGTACTATTGTTCAAGAAATATTATTACAATTCAATTAAATCTGATACCAAGAATACCAATAGATGTACTGCTGATAATTTGAATGAGGATATTTATGAGGATAAAATGTGTAAAAATATAAAATTATAAACATTAAAAAGGCCATAATATAATATCATATAATATAATATTTTTTATGTGAAGATCGGTCCTCTCAATACAGCAGTATCAGTGTTTAAAGTATTAATATTTGAATCGATCTGCCCATCAGTTTCTATAAGTACAGATGTACATGCGAAAACATAGATTTGTCCAAACTCCCATAATTCTCTCTCTCTCACCCTGCACTCTTTTCTCCTCCATGAGGAAATAATCCAATAAATCCAAAAAATCACTTCATCCAAGCCAGCAAACATATTTGTTTATTTAAAATTTATTTCAAACAGTATTTTGCCAGCTCTGAAATGAAAAACAAACAGCTTTATGTGTGTGCTGGAAAACAACATTCATACGCAAAACAGACATGATCTCATTAGCAGCCACAAGACCAAGAACAAAAATCACCCTCTGTCACAACTCTCTTTCATGGCAATAAAGTTATCAGCTCACAATCATCATCCTGGCATGCTCAATAACAGTCTGAGAGTATAACTGTCATCATCCAAAGTGATTACAGGCTGAATCACCATCTCTGAAACTTCTCAAACGTTCTCCAGGCAAGACCTGTTTGCTCTCTAAGAGTCAAGTTCAGCCTTCATGTTCACAGGTTTCCTGCTGTGCAGGGATCAGCTTCTCTCACAACTTTCTGGTGTAGGAAAGGTTGTTGTGTGTCTTTGTGAATGTTATGTTTGTCTCTGCGTGTGAGAGAAAGGGTGTAAGGTAGACTTGCCAGTTAGTCACCAATCAGCAGGAATCCCTCACAAAACTTCAACAAAGACTTGAAGACAGAAGATTCATTTTACGAAAAAGAATTTCAAAGTTATCATGAGAAACCTAAATGCAGATAACTACGTTTGTTGGGTGGATAAAGCAAACCAGCGTCTCGCTAGTAAAGTTTTGATGGATTAGGATTGCAATCAAGGTTAAGACGATTGCGGTGACGTAGGAGTCATACAGTAAGCACGCGTGAGTCCGTTATATTGTTCGGTATCGCAACATGACTTGTCTAAAATGTAAACAAGCTCTTTGCTGTTGCATTATACACATACACAGTAAATTCTGATTTTTTTTTTTTTCATGGGTGCTTTGGTGTGCATAAATGTAAGAATTATATGGACTTCTTACTGACTTTGGCTATTTGGTGTCCCTTTGGAGTCTCCAAGTGTCCTTTTTTGGAAATAACCTTTAAAAAAGCTTGCAGAAAATACAGTTTTGTGAGAATCACCCTTCAATCTGATGGTTTACTTCGCTGGATATAGCAAATGATGACAAAATGAACAAGTTAAACACAATAAATGGTGTATACTTAATTTCACAATAAGTATGCGATTAATCGCACAAAAGAGTGTGATTATTCGGGATTCCATTTTTTTTATCTATTGGCAGCCCTAATATACATATAGCCTAAAATAAACATACACAGAAAACCACCATTATTATTTACTTTGCTTCAAACAAGATGATGTAAAGTAACTAACACCTACTTCTAGGAACAATATTTGTGATTGCTCAAATGAACTGGTTAATCAGGCTTCTGAATCATTCCACTGAAATTAACAAAGCGATTCACTAAAACAAGAGTATAATATATTTAAGAGAGATGCGTAATACATATTATTCATGTGTATTAAGATGGAAAGAGAGATGGAAAGAGCAGTGCACCAGCTCTCTGGATTGCTGTTTATCACTGTTAATCCCGCTGCACGTGTTGGACCCCTAAAATAAACACTTGTTTATCTTACAGAGCTCATAAACAGGGCACTAAAATAGCTGCACTATTTACAATTTTACTGAAATAGACCAAACTGTCTCAACAACCTGTGTATATCAGACAGAAAAGCAAAACTACAAATCTCTCGAGAGCGTGCCACATCGTCTGGTTTGCTCGCACTGGGAAAGCTCTCAAACGCGACTCTAAAAGCTAAAAAAAAAAACGACAAGAGTCAAAACACCTGCGAGCACTCTTTAAAAGCATTTGCGCTCGGGAGCAACCAAACCAGTATGGGATTTTTTCCCCTTCAATCATTTTATTTTATCCTTGGGTTTCTTCCACCTATCAGACTACCGTTTGATTTATTCTTTCCATCAATCTCTCCCTGGGTGACCTGTAAGTCCCACTGGTCACAACCTGGTTTCACTTATAAAAGTCAGTAGGAAAGAATGTCTTTAGATACTATCATTTGCTATGTACAGTAACCAAAACTGCATGTGCTGTAGACTTTGCTATACTTAAGCCACATTGGGAGGGTGCTCATTTCCAATGACTAAAAAATTATTTAAAAAGAAACAAAAAAAAAAAATGTAAGAAAGGAAAGCTTTCACTTGTATTTGGTTAAATGTTAAATGCACTGGTCGTTTAAAAAAAAAAAAAACTGAAACTTGTTGATTCCAACCACTGGGTATTTAAAGCTAGTGATTCAGATTTAACTAGGGATTACAGAGGTCACTGTTTTCATTTATCAGATTTAGACTCCAAAGCCTCGTTGGCGTGACTTGCAGCTTCACTGATTGTAAGTTGATTCAGCATTGTGGTGTTATGGTAGGAAAGACAGACAGGGAGAAAGAGGTTATGACTCAGACTAGGTGGGAACTGATCAGCATCTGATGGGAAAGATGCACACTAACCATGCATGACCTCTCACACACTCGCACAATAATTTAGATCATATAAAATTTCCATATCCATCTGTCTATATTGCTTGTGTTAGTTTAACATTTAACATTTAGTTAAATAAAGGTCACATTAAAATGATTTTCAGTGCTTCCTGTATAGATTTTATTGTTTTATCCAGAAACCCTAAAATATGAAAATATATTATTAAAGGTGCCCTAGAATGTGTTGAAATAATATTTTAATTTTGTCTCTGATATCTACATAGAGGGTATGTGGCTTATTTAAGGGCATTTAAAATGTTTTACAGGTCCATTTTCAACTCTAGAAACTGGCCCTAAAATGAAATGGTCTGTTTTTACCTTATTTGGAAGGGTCATGAATAGTAATGGGGAGTTCTGCTCTGCTCTGT